CACTCTCTTTCAGTTGAAGAAGACTGTCCAAAACCTTGTTTCTGTCAAGGTGTCAAGTACCTGCACTCCCCAGTCCTTGCATGGAAGCCAGTTTTCAAAAGTATAAGTCTCTGTGTTGACTTTTCTTATCGTCTATCGTCAATATCAGACCTAGATGTTTATGCCAGTTTGAAAAGTGGAGAACAGCATATATGGTCAATTMATGGATTTCAAGGACAATCATGGAAAAGAGGAAGCATTCCAGTTCGCTTCAATAAGGATTTCAAGGTGAGTGCTTTAAGCTGAAATGCATTATGAGTCCTGCTATGGAAAGCGTACTCAGCTGCCGAATAACTAAGGAAGTTGCTTGAGAAAATTAGAACTTTATTTTAGAAATAACATCAACATCAAGAGAGTAATAGAGTAATCATATGAAGAAAATATTGTACTCAGGAACATTATGCAAAYAGACAAAATGTGTATTTATTTATGCTACAAATAGGCCTTTTAATTGCATGAAAAGGTCACAGGGTACTAAATCCGCAATACTGGATGGCAAAAGAATGTAAACAACCTCAAAAATAAAAGGAACGCAGCCCGTCAAACTTGATTTTTCTATGTATTGAACAACCCAGTAGGTTTTTTTTCCATTCATCATGGTGGATTTAGTAGCATGTGACTGTTTCATGAATATGTCCAATTGTCCAAGTGTAAATTTCTCCTTTTCTTTCGAGTGAAGTATATACATTACTGGGATCCCGAAAAAAACTTTTACAGTCTAGAAAATGGTCTGCAGACAAGACGATATATAAGCCTGATAAAGACTCACTTTGACGTCACCAAATTAGCGCAGTGCTTTTTCAAGGCTAATGTTCTCTGAATTGTGAAGCCTGTATCCAATGTTATATAAATGAAAAAAAAAATGAAAAAAGGACATCAAAAGTGGTACTGCTTGTGACTGAGACCATTGCTGACTTGCAACGTGACAGCTATAAACCTAAAGGTTTATCTATTTTTGTAGAGCTTTCGGCTCACCGAGCCATTACCAAGTCTGAATGAAAAACGTTACAGTTTACAAAACAACATAAACAACGAGCGTTCGCTCCGAGAAGATCTAATATGCGCGCACGGAAACTAATTTCTAATTACACAAAGATGATTTTGCGGGATCATCCGACCCTTGTCCCTAGTAAATGTTTCCATTTGTCAATTCATTATTCTCATTTATCAAATAAATATCGGTTTTAAATTATTTAAGCAGGATACTTTGAAATAATCATTAATTGTTTGCATACACTTTTTAGATAATTTTCAAATTGTCGTCCAAGCTAAATGAAAGTAGTTGTGGGATTCAGCACTTCCAGCTGTCCACATCSCCATGTGAATTTCACCCAAAACGAGCAAAACCAGGTTAGGCTCACAGGGGCATCAGCAATACATTGGGAAATGGTTATATGAAAAATGCTATTAGCGACAAATATTCATTATCAAAGTATCTGTATGCCCTATGTAACAGGTTGGACTTGTCTCGCTCCATGAAATATCTTTCCGTCTCTCCTCTTTGAGGATCSCACTTATTTCCATCATATGTGCTGTCATCCTTTATCTTTTATTGAAGTTAGCTGGTGTTTTTGGASAAAASTGTCTTGGCGTTTACATGTTGAGCACTTGATTTATTTTCGGCATAAATATTTACTCTCATCATTGTTTGTATATACAAACAAATGACARATAGCTTTACTCACCGAAACGTGCACATAAATCTATATGTAAAAAGTATCAATTGAGAAAGATACTTTGTCTAAATGGGAAAATGATTGGGTTTTCCYAAATAAATGCACGTCAGTTTTAGGCTGATTAAAATGGAATTTTTGTGATGTGAATACCTTATCGCTAATCATGTACCGTGCAGCCTCGTCATACTGCTCTGTATTTATCTTCAGGTCAAGAACAATTACCTGTTTACAAATACCTTTGTATTATCCTCTCCATGTGACAAAACTCCCAAAAAAATCAAATCTAATAAAACTTTAATTAAAGTTAATTATGTCAGTAAGCAATCCCAAAACCTTTCCATGTACTCCTCCTTAGGTTATCGTTGTCCTGATTCRCAATACCAGTGCAATAATGGAGAATGTATTGACAAAAAATACCGATGTAACGGACAAAAAGACGACTGTATTGATGGTTCAGATGAGGTTGGCTGTACTTGTTACACTGATCAGTTCACTTGCTTGGAYGAATCATGCGTTGACGTATCAGAACTTTGCAATAGAAAAWCAAATTGCAAAGACGACGACGATGAAATGCGTTGTGGTGAGTAAACGGTCWCGTGAGGTGCACATAGACACAGTTAWATGAAATTCTTTTTTTTCCTGCAAGGAGCTCAAKGGTGTCGCTTTGATCAATGCATGGATGGAAGATGTACAGCATCATCATGTCAAGATACGATGTATAACATCTCCGAATGCTGTATGTATATRCATTGCTTACGCTTCAGTTTAATTTTTATTGAGAAAAGTAGAACAATGTCATCTCAAGAAAACTCGTGACCACTATACTAAATATTGGGAGTATCATGGAGATTTTTCATTTTTCATCACTCAGTTTTTCTTTCGAAATCAGTTAAAATCTTGAACTTATATCTAACATATTACACAAAGTAATACTACAAAATATATTAGCATTTAAATATAAATATCTTTTAAACAATTTGGAAATGTTGTGTACATCAGATAACAGCATAACTTTTTTGATTGCGACGCCGTTGTTATAGTTATCACCAATGACGATTATCAAGGAAACATTTGCCGAGACAAGAATGAAAAGTGCAAAAGCATTAAAGGTAACATTCTCTATAGGGCAATATGGTCAATCAGCATTTAATGCGGTCGGGTTTTAGATTGTTCTTATACTGAAATGAAGTGACTTCAGGTATCTATTCGTAATCCGTCGGTTTTAAGAYCGAAACCTACAATATCTCATAAAGAACTGGAAAAAAACTCACTTTAATTACGATGAACTCATATTTTCAAACGGAAGCAAAATCTCGCAAGGGATGCCGGCTGAATATGCTTCTCTACATTGCAGAAAAATTGATGTGAAAGTAGTCCTTAAACACATGGTAATTCTATTCTGTTTCGTCAGCTAAATTTGTTTGTTATATACCAAGCTTTCGGGCCTATTCGTAAATTTCATACCGTTTTTATCCTTCATGCCATTGTAACCCTGAAGATGGGCCGATAGGCCCGAAAGCTTRGTAAATAATAAACAAATTTGGTTGATGAAACAGAATTACCATGAGCTCAAGTCCAACTAACATTACTCTATTTGACTTAGTCCTTAATAAATAATTTTTATAGGCATTTGCGGCTTTGAAAATGGTGCTTGTGGAATGGAAAATGACAATGGATGGGCTTACTATGCACCAACAAACAAAAGCTCATATATAACCTTTGATCATTCTTATTCAGAAGGTAATTACTATATGTACCTAATGTATTGTATTGAGGAAACTTCAAATATTTTATTGACTTTACTGCTTTAGGGAAGAGAAATATGGAAACCTGTACTGAACTCATTTAAAACGTACTAAAAACTGATATTAGATAAAAGCACAAAGTTTGKTACTAGGTTTGATGTTTTGTAGTTGTTGATGTGCATTCTCACAAAAGTCATATTTACATGAAAGTTTTTTTAACACATTATCACATGAGTCGACATGTAAAATTGMACTAATGGGTATTTTGCTAATGCTTTTAAAGGTAGTTACTACATTGCACGTCCCATTATCAACCAATCCGCTATAAGCAAATTATCCATGCAATGGTCAAGAACTAAACCTTACTGCATGCAGTTCTGGTACGCTGCAAACCTGGACTCATTGTTACGAGTTTTTGCAGTGGACAACCATACAACGTCCTGTCTTTGGAGAATGTCCAGTAACATTACAAATGAATGGGTATTTGGTCAGGTTGAGATACCTGGAAATTTGACTGGAAAAGTAAGTAAAGGCGCTAATWAAAATCCAATTTTTTTATTAAAAAAATATTAAGCCACTGTCGTGAAAATAATGGAAACTAGCGGTAAACTAGCAGTGGACCTGYAAGAACGTTAATGGCCTTCAATGTCAGCGAAGTAATCATGAACCAAGAAAGCATTGTGAATGTTGGTGGAACCAAGTTAAAGAACGTGAGGAAGTTCCGTTACCTAGGTTATATCATCTCAAACTCAAGTGACAAYACGCAGAACCTTGGCTCCAGAATGGGATCTGCGTATGAAAAATGTAATGAACTGAAAGATGTATTAACAGATCATCGTATTTATCTGTCCACTAGGATTAAATTTCTTAATGCCTGCGTGAGATCTAGGCTACTTTACAGCGTCCAGACGTGGGACATGACTRCKAAGGAAATTGCAAAAGTGGAGGTGGTCTGGAACGGGTTCCGTCGAAGGATGGTAAAGGGGGGATTCAAGCGTCGAAAGGATGWGCAAYATGAYGGTAGTGTGAGCGGTCAGGAGTGGAAGTTTAAATACTCAAATGCAGACCTTCTCCTCATAACCGGGACACAACCCATCAAGACTTTTCTTGATTCAGAAGCTGAAATACCTAGCACATATTTGCAGAATGAGCAATACAGACTTAGGGAAGCAAGCGCTTTTCGAAGAACGGTCTGGGAMGTGGGTGAAACTTGAGAGACTGTTGGGCATCGATGCCCAACAACTGAGACGAATGATGATGGACAGAGGGAACTTTACGCGATTCATCGAAGAGATGACCGCACCCTAAGGAGAAAAGTCTCTAGAGAGGGGAAATAGATGATGATGATGAGCCTTTCTGTGTCCCAAAGATATATTTCATATCAGTGCATACACTACCGAACCATCAGTCCGCAACCCAGCACTATGACCAACGCTGTCTTCTATCTTACTACGCAGCCATGTGGTCAGCCGCCTCATATTCACRACTTTCGTACTGAGGGTCAGCAGCAGCGAGCAAAGCATGCGCGCACTGAACCACGTATTCCAGGAACAATGAACACAATTTTTTAATTTGGTTCTTACCTTGGTTCATTGTTTTATGGCTCCTGAGTCTGGGTWTATGATATCGGATTTTCCACTCATCCGTGTTTTCTTGTTGCCTCAAATTTTAAAACACCTTAGGTCAGGGTCAAACGGCGAAATCCCCCATGTAATAATTGCAATGTATATGCAATTTGATAATTGCGAGAAACATGCTTTGTTTATTAGATTGAGATAGTTGGTTACTCCATTGGACATTTCGTAGCTGTTGATGACCTCAGTTTTATTGAAACCTCATGTTCGCAAGTTGGAGTCCAAAGTAAGTATATTATTTCCACATGACGAAATTCTGAAAATAGTAGAATGGGAAAATGATAAAAGAAAGTACGAAGCAAACACTAAATTTTATCTAGTGCTAGATACTGCACTCTAACAATAGTAATTCTATATTGAGAGACATCCACTTCGAAAAAGTAAACAAATCTACACCGGCGGCCGCGACGATAGAAGAATCAGTGAAAATTTGTGAATAATCCGTAAATATAATGTATTTGTGTATGAAAATAAACTGAATCTATGAAACATGGAGCCAAAATCCCCGTCTTTTTAGCCGACAATTACTGAAAATGTGATGATCTCCGTGTCATTTTACTCATATCGTGAGCATGATGTTTGAGAAAAGCGTTGCCATCAGGTAGATTGAGGCAACGGGTTGCAAGTTGACCAGTGAGACTTTTCCTATATACTTTGAGGAATTCTTCTACATAATCTACGATGTAAAAGTCATATAATAAACGAGTTATTAACCTCGCTTGCTCGATCTGTAAGAGAAAATATCAGACCTCGGTACTGTGAAGACCTCGGTCTGATATTTTCCCGTACAGACCTCGCGCTCGGTTAACAACCTCTTAATATTTCGTTATCGTAGCAAATCCCTCGTGCTATTTTGATKATCATCAAMCATGCAACATGAACGTCGACAAGGCATGGGTTCCAACATTGTATGAAGGAAAACGAGGTACTGAAATACTCAGATGCATCACGAGTAAAATTATAATTTATATTTTATTGTTGTATCTTAATAAAAATAAATAAAATTAAAATATGATATCCAAAAAGGCAGAAGGTTAACAATTCGCAGGCGGTTTTCCATTGTCTGTACTCTTATTGACAATGAAATTGACCGTCAAAATGCTCAAAACTCAAATGGAACCACAAGCGTAAGCGAGTGGTTTCACTGCAAAGTTTTGATCATTTTTGACGTCAATTTCATTGTCAATAAGAGTACAGACAATGGAAAACCGCCTGCGAATTGTTTTTTACCATAAAAAAGCTGAAAACRAAGTAAAACTTTAAAAACAAAACCGTTTCTAGCGCGCGCCGGCTCCGTGCGCGAGCGATTCGTCATWTCATCCGTCTGTCCTAGGATTGACAACGGCCCTCGACCAATCAGCGCACGAGAATTCTACAAGTTATGGTAAAACATTTCTTTTCTAGTGAGTAAATTGACATTCAATCAATTTTGATTCTGGCATCTAATTCATCTGTCTTTAGGTCAAAACAAATTCTACTTGAGCTTGGCCATTTCAAGCAATGAGTCAAGCAAGATATCAAGTCAAAAGTTCAGCCCGAAATCAGATGGGTGGAAGTGCTTGCGATTCCGGCTGAGCAGTGAAGAAAGTTATTTCCCGAGAAAACTGGATGTTTATTACAATACCGTTAACAATTCGATAGCAGTTTTTAACTATACAACAGTTACACCTGGATGGGTTTATTTCCAGGCATCAATACCAGAAGAAGAACAATTACAGGTAACGTCAGGGGATCCTGTCGAATTCAATCCATTCATCATTTTTTATTATTTGATTTAATTGTTTAAGGTCATTATCGAAGGAAAGAGAAATAAGTATGCCTCACTTTCAGTAGACGACATTTCATACTCGAAATATCAATGCCAAAATATACCTGGTGAGTTTTTGTATTTTGAACTTTTCTTATTATTTCTTTTGAGATCGTTAAACAGCATGGGTAAATTGTTGTCAAAAGTTTCTTCTTAGTGTGAACCTTTTATYAGTTTTAAAACCTCCAATCTGATCTTATAATTTAGATTCCAAAGAAGGCAAAGAATGTCTTGAATACGCCACTTTGGATTCGCTTGATCGTAGAATTGACCAAAGCGAMCTCTATGGAATGCAAGCGTCAGACGACAGCACCCTTTCAAATKMCATGTGGTACCGAGTTACTGGTCTTGCGGGCAATCAAATTGCTATGGAGTGCGTAGATAATTTAAAATATGCATGTTACGCTCAATTTCAAGGCTGGATCAATGGGACAATGCCAACTGTATCCCAAGGAAGAGTGAACAGGACTATGTGCTTTCATGATGGATTCGAAGGGACTTATGATTGCTGTTTTAAATCTATGACGATCAACGTGCGCAATTGTGGTGGATATTTTGTTYATCGATTTTCGCGGTTTAAAATCTTAAACACTAGACACATTCTAGGGCATAAGATGAGTACTGGAAAAGTTTGCACAGAGTACAGTAAGTACTTTAGAAATCGCGATTCTAAAGCAATTTATAGCCCTGTGAATTTTGATTTCGGATCAATGAGCTAAAACGAGAGAGGAAAGCAATGAATTCTAGTGGATAGTCTATCGATCTTTAAAAGAAGATTGATTGATAGTGCTTGCACATGCGTACTCTTTTATAGTTGTTTCGTTGATAAATATATGAATAACCCGAAATAGTACTCTTATAATTTGGAGGCTCTGAAGATTGTTTTCAGTTGTAGCTTTAACTAGCTTGGAAAATTACGCAAAAATGCTCTGTTTTAGACGAATCCATTTTTAAAAAATCTTTTTTTTTTAATAGGTGTCCTTGGACTTACCGTTGACGTAGAATGGAAGAAMTGGACCAGCGACGATCTGCACTCCCTAAAATGGAGGATTTTGAATGAGAAACAATTCATCTCGTCTTCAAAAGCTATTTTGGGTAAACAAGGT